GCGGCTGGAGATGCAGCGGCTGCAAAAGGAGAATCTCAGCTTGAAGGATGGCTCCCAGCGGTCTGAGACGGGGCAAAGCACCGAACTGCAGGTCGAGAAGGCAGTCTTGCAGGACCGGTGTGAGCAGCTCCAGCAGCAGCTTGCCGAAGCACGTGGTCAGCTGGAGGTTCTGTGGGAAGAGAGGGGCAGGTACCAGGAGCGCCTTCGCCAGCTTGCAGAGATGAACAGGAAGCAAGAGTCCCATCATCATCGTCATCCCACCTTCAATCCTCCGGGCGCAGCTCCCAGCAAAGCAGCCTTCGGTGAGGAGGAGTCGGATCTTGCTGAGCAATTGGGGTACAGCCTCGTGGATGAAGACCTTGCCTCCGTCCTGAGTGGGTCCTCCGGTTGTTCCGTGCAGCAGAACTGCTTCATGCTGGATGCCATCTTCAACTGCCGGATGGACGTCTTGCGGGAGGGGAGGGACCTCCAGATTGGGTCGCAGGTCCTGGCTGGCGATGGCAAGACAGTTGTGGAGGTGGTCGAGATCAAAGAAGCGCGAGCTACGGAAGTGGTCGACCTGAAGGCGGCTGGTGCAACACTGCGGGTGACCCCGGACCATCCCGTGCAGATCCCCGATGCAGGTGCCAAGGCGGGACGCCATCTTTACCTGCCGGCGGGCAAGCTGAAGGTGGGGGACTTCGTGATGAATAATTCGGGAGAGCCGGTTGCGCTCACCACTGCACAAACCCTTCCCACGGAGTGCAATGTGCTGAAGATCGTCTTCAAGCCGGACCTGCCTGTGGCCGTCTTCCCCAACCCTTCGTCCTGCATCCTCAGCAAGGGACACAAGAAGTCACAGAATCGCCGCAGCGTCCGTGGAAGAGGCCAGGAGGCGGCCGATCCGATGGATGAAGGGGCTTCCATTCCGGACACCGCGGCCGGTGAGTACACGGACTAATGTAGGGGCCTTGATAATTAGAATATGGTTTTAGGGCATATATACTATAGTGATAATCAGGAACCCGCAAAACAGTATTGGCAATGATTTATGCCCCATATTAAGCCTCTATAGATGCTAGAAGGAGATTTAGATACTGGGAGCTGTGCTCCCAGAGCCCGAGAATTCGCAGAGTTCCGCAACGCTGTCAAGCAGCTCAGCGCACGGTTCCCTGACCTGTGCCTACACACAGCTTCTTGACCCTGCCGTTGCCCAACCATTGCGTGTTGAAGTGCAGCGCACGCGTTCCATTGTTTTACAGCTGAGGGTTATAGGAGGCGACAAATCTTCATCAAAGCCCCTCATGTCTCCAGTTCTCCATTCAAGCAGCAGCAAAGAGCTTCTTTTCGGAATGGGTTTGGGGAGTAGGTTCCATTTTTGCAAGACACCCGAAGCAATGTAACCTTGGATTCGTTGTGCCTTCACTTCGCTTCTTTTTTTAAGTCTTCATCCAGTGCGTAGTGCCGGGCTCGAATTTTGTGCCCTGCGCAGAAGCGAGCAGGGCCCTCTTCTTGGCAGCTGGACGCCGGCTTTTTTGCTAGTCAATGCGCTGAGCAGGAGAGCAGGCAAAGATGACAAAGTTTGCCCTTGGGAAGCTTTAGTCACTTCAGCCTGTGTCCATGATCTTTACATAGATTCTGAACTTGTCATGTGGCTTTATACGGAATCTGGATCTGAAGTTTCAAGAGTCACGGCCCGTCGGAGAGCTTTCAGCACCGGCCCCAGAACCCCGAATCCTATCCATGGTGTCTACTTCCCCAAATCATAACATCAATTCCTAAAAAAACCCTACAATCTGCTATAGAATATAGGTACTTAGGATTACTTAGGACCCTAAGGTATCCCTTGAGACGCCTGCCTTTTTCCAGGTCCACTTGCCCGATGGGCCCGCGGTTCCGGCTTTGCGATCGCCTAAGCGCGTGAGGCCAGCACTAGGATGTAATATATGTTGGTGGTCATGTATAACAATTATAGTTTAATATACCCCGAAACCCTATGCTTATTATTAAGGCTCCTGCATTACGGCCATGTCAAGATTGAGGGAGTGAGGTCAAAATTTGGGGATACAAGTTCCGGCTGCAGGGTTTCAGGTCTGGGCTTCGGAGTTCAAGATCCAAGAAACTCTGGTCATAAAGATTAGTAAAGGAGACACCTAAACCCTAAAACCCTAAACCCTCAAACCCCTAAACCCCTAAGCCTCAAACCCTAAACCCTAATAAACCCTTAAACCCTAAACCCGAAGCCCCTAAACCCTAAACCCTCACCCATTTGGGGCGTAGAGGGCTCAGGGTTGCCGCCCGAGAGCTTCACTTCGAGGATGCTTCCCGCAGTCCGCTCAACACGGTTTAGGGTTTAGGGTTTAGGGTTTAGGGTTTAGGGTTTAGGGTCCTATGGCCCCCCATGGTTGGGAGCTAGGATTAGGGGGACCCTTGGGGATATAGACCCTCTCAATAAGGTCCCTTTTAAGAGAGCCAAAAGTAGGGTTCAGAAGGGGTACCCTTTAAGGGGTACCCTGAATAGTACTACCTAAGGGTTTAGGGTTTAGGGCTTGCTTTCGCGTTGGGGTGTGGGCTTGAGTAATATAGGGGCCCTCATAATTACCATGCACTACTATGTTGGGGGTTCATTACTATAACTCTAGTATTGTCCCCAAAACCTGTATTAGGTTTGTTTGATTGGTCAAGGTGGTCTCTATGGCACTGAGGCATGACAATGGTTCGGTTTCGAAAACGATGTGCCCTAAACCCTAAAACCTAAACCCTAAACCCTAAACCCTAAGCTAGCAGGCCCGGCCCCAATGGAATTGTCTGTAGACTTTGCGGTGTGGGGTGTATGGATTGTGATTGGACCGGTCACACTCGGGGAAGAACCCTTTCCTAGCAATGGTGTGGAGACTTTTTGCATACCCGACCATAGAGAATACCAGCGCAGATAAGGCAGCCGGAGTACCTTGACAGGTCATGTCCTATCTGGATCATGAAGACATAGCAGCGCAGACATCAACACAACCCGCTTCATCTGAATGCTGCTAGTCTGAAGGGAGCTCCTCAAACCCTAAACCTCAAACCCTGCAAGCCCTGAACCCTAAACCTCATGCAAACCCTATAAGCCCTGTAAGCAGTAAACCCTAAACCTCAAACCCTATAAACCCTGTAAGCCCTATAAACCCTAAACCTGAAACCCTATAAACCCTGTAAGCCCTATAAGCCCTAAACCTCAAACCCTATAAACCCTGCAAGCCCTGAACCCTAAACCTCAAACCCAGAAACCTGTAAGCCCTAAACCCGAAACCTCAAACCCTGGACCCTGTACGCCCTAAACCTCAAACCCTATAAACCCTGTAGCCGGGATGGTTTGCGATTAGCATCGAAACCGTCTCCGGCTAGCAGCTCGTGTCCAAGCATCAGGTGCATGCATGCAATAGTGACTGCTCAAGCCCCAACATTACAAGTAAGTTGAGCCTTACAGAACTTTGCAGACAGCTCACGAGTTTGAAGGGGAAGAGCTACACTGCATAACACGTCACCATCTTTTTGCAGTAGGTGCTGAGGTCTCTCCCAGTGTAGGGTTGCTCCTCCTTTGCAAGTTTGATCATGCATACAGATTGACACACGTCCCAATTTCGCAAGATCTGCTTTTTGCCGGATGACCGTGGAGCGCCATAGTTTGCCACGATATTAAAGTTCTATTTCCAATGGCTCAGAAGAGTTAGGTCTAGCCATGTCTGCTATCAGAAACTTACACGAAGCCCTTCCTGCAGGATGACCCTGCGGATGACCCTGGATTGATCTGCGATTTTGCGAAAATGGTTCCTGAGATGTGGTGCACAAGTTCCGCTCCGGCTCCACCCGCAACCATCGCATTCACAGTGGTCATCATCATCACCACCATGATCATCACCGGCATCATCGTCACTACCATCACTCTCCGCATCATCATTCTCCCTTCAAAGTGAAGACAACCGTCATTGGCAAACTGTGAGTTCGCTGTCTAAGCCAGTGTTACTCGAATGGAATCCGGGAAGGGTTGAGGGTTTGGGTTTTCAGGGTTTAGCGTTGAGGAAGACCTACATCGCCTCCTAAACCCTATATAAGTCCTAACCCGGGACGCTGGATGGACTGTCCTGTTGGCTGCAGCCTGACCAGAACATGTGGGCGACACCATGAATCGACGACGGCAAGACACCTCGTCGGAATTTGGTGTCATTACCAGATTTAGTCAGCTCTTAAACCTGCCCAGCCCTCACCCCTACATCCATGCAGCATTACAGCATCCTCAACATCAACTAACATCCTCATCTCCAGCACCACTGGAGCCAGCACGGAAGCGTCTCCTACCTCTGTACTCTTCTCCTCACCTGGAACCCCAATCCCAAGCCTAGCCTGCCAAGCCCGGGCCACAAGAAGTTCACTCCTGGCTGATGTCGTGCAGCTCACGTCAGCGATGGAGGATGCCGCAAAGGTGCCTCGGTGCGGGCTGCAAGTGTAAGATTTGCCATCTGCAGAGGTCGCATACCGTCGGAGTCGGAGGTCCTTTCTCAGGGGTGCCTGCGGTTCTGCATTTTCCATACTCTAAGAAATCGGTTTTTGTTATATATCCTACGTATCTCAAGGGGTGCCATGAAGAGCAATTTCGTCCTCAGCCGAGCCCCATGAGAAAGAAAGCCGCTACCTGCGGCTGTGCCCCTAAAACCTAAAGCCGAAACCCTATAAACCCTAAACCCTAAGCCCCTAAACCTAAACCCCTAAACCCTAAAAAACCCTAAATAGAGGCTGCAGCGGATGGCGTCATCGATTCGCTTCGGCAGCTTCTGCCTCCCGCCCAAGTAAGCCGAATTTTGCATTCCAGGGTGGTGTCGGCCTGGGGTTTAAGGGCCATTTAAGGGGTTTGACAAGGGATTATGATCCATTTAAGGGCCATTTAAGGGGTTTAAAGGGTTTATGATTGTGGGCTTGGGGTGTAAGGGGTTCGGGGCTCAAGGGTGTTAAGATGATATGTTGAGCTCTGGAGCTTTTAGTGTGCAGTTTTCAGACGTCTGTTCGTCGGATCTGCCTTGAGCCCGATGTAAGATCTAAACGTGCTTCAACTCGACGTACTCCGTAAAGCCCTAGACAGCTTCAGAAACAAAGCATGGAGGCGCCTTAGGAGTGCTGCTTTTAGGATTTTTTGCTTGCTTGGATTACACCTTATAAACTCTGTAAGTTTGAGCCTGTCCCTTGAAAACAGCCTTACAACCTTATTAGTATCTCCTTGTAAACGAACCTTATTAGAAATCAATATATATATATATATATGTATATACATATACATATATACATATATATATATATATATAAGTTTAGATCTGCATAGTCCTACACAAATACATACATACATATACATATATATATATATATACTCATATATATATATATATATTTATTTATTTATTCTTATACACATACATATACACATATTCTTATATATATATATATATGTACCAATGTCAAATCTCACGGGGCTAAAGAGACCCGAACAAAAACAAAGGAACCTGGTCCCCGGTGTATGCCCAGGAATGCTCTGGCCGTGCTAGTACCTGGGAAGGCTGGGTCTTACGGTTTAGGGATTAGAGATTGGGGTTTAGGGATGAGGGTTTAGGGCTTAGGGATGAGGGTTTAGGGTTTAGGGATTAGGGTTTAGAGATTAGGGTTTAGGGTTTAGGGTCTTGAGTAGATCTGATCTAGGCCGATTTAGGGTTTATAGGGTTTCGGGTTTGAGTAGGCTTCAAATGATGCTTATAGAGTTTCGGGCGTCGGGTTTGTAGGGCTTAGGGTTCATTCTAGGACATTTTCAGGTGGGTAGTTACCTTTATAGGAGCCTTATAGAAGGTCTATATACCTTATGGAAGCCTTATAGAAGCCCTATATACCCTAAACTCCCCGCCTGTAGTTTCTTTTCATCCATGGTTTTTGGGTCTGGGG